TTCTGTATCTCTGGGGTTTGATTTTTGGGGTTTTTTGTATGTTGATTGGTTTCTTTTGTTTTTGTTTGGTCTGCGTGCGTGCGTGTGCGTGTGTGTGTGTGTGTGTGTGTGTGTGTGTGTGTGTGTGTGTGTGTGCACGCTTTCTGAAACGTAGCTACTCTGCACGAGTCCATCTCTGGCTCCTCCATCCTTTCCAGGTCTGATCACCTGACATTGTACTTGGTTTCCATCCCTCGTGCCTCTCTCTGGGAACCTTCTCAGGACTGCTCTGAGTCTCCTTAGGCTCCTTCCATTTGTTTTCCATCATGCAGCAATCACAGTCTTTCAGGGCGGGGGTCCAGTATCTAAGAACTTGCTTCTTGTTACTTTTAGCTACTTCCCTGAAAGAGTTAATACTGCTACTGTTGCTCTGTCTTGGTGGGAAACAGGTCACTATGTGGCCATGTTAATCTGAATCTGTTGCCTTCCTTTGCCTGCTAGGAAACTAGGTGCCACTGGACTAATTCCCAGGACTTCCTTTTGATCTTTGCTCTGTTCATCACAGGCTCCTCTGGTCTCAGATCTCATTGCCTGCATATATGCTCCAGAGTTGTGGCCCTTTGAAAGCACAATTGAATTGCTTTGTTATTTCTTTTATGGAGAATACTTTTCAGTCTCAGCATGCCAAGCTTGGTACTGAATGAGCACTTGACAGATGCATGTGGAAACTGTCCGTATTCCATATGAACATAAACTTGGTTTATACCTTCAGCTATTGATGAATTTAAGGATAATTTTCCCACTCTGTGCTGAGCATATGGCATGAAAATACTCTTGGAGCATCTCCACTCCTTTACTTTATTTTAATCTATTAAATGTTTTAGATTTTTCAAAAGAAAAATAAGCAGTGAAACAGGAGGCTCCACTTAACCATCTAAATTTGCTCCATAAATATAAGCTAATTTCACTTGAATACGCTTATCTCTGAAATATGATCAATATGATTTATCCATTCAACAAGCAAATGTATAATTGTGCTTAGGACTCATAATATAAATCAAATATGAAAAATGTCTGGGGTTTTTTTTTCAAACTTGCAGTGCATTAGTGTAAACAGAATTATGAAGAGATGATTAGGCATCAATGACATGCTAGCCTCTATTCTGTAACAAAGTCTGAAGCGATGGTTTCCTGAAGGAGAAGGGAGACACTTAAGATGGGGAGGCTGCATTTAGAGGACTTAGCAGACAAGTGATGGAAAACCAGCCAGTCTCATGGGTTTCTGGTTTAAATTTTTAAGTGAGTGGTTTTATCCTTGCTGACTGAGATAGAGGATCCATGGGGAACATATTAGGAGGACTCGCTTGAAATTGCTTTAGTAACCACTCTTATCTAATAATTTCCACCAGAATATTAAGAATCCTGTGTGGCAAAAAATAGTAATTAGCTTCTTAAATTTGTTTTTAACAATCATTATTATTATTTAGTGGATTGCTATTCACATTTCACTCAAATTTGGATAGTCACTGCAGCAGTAAACCAGTAAATTGTAACATGCAGATTCATTTAAGCCATCTAAGTGATCAAAGCTGAATGGAATCACTGTATCATTTGGGGCATTGAGATGAAACAGCCTGACTGGCCTTAACTTTTCCTAGCCTTTCATAATTAGACACCTCTGGAAGATGCAGAACAGTCCAGCCTCGGTCCAGGAAAGTCCTGAGTTGCATGCTACAAGTTGTGCAGAGCTAAAAATGTGAGACAGATAGATGCCTTTATGGAGGCTTGGAGCTGATGAACCCAAATTGCTTTTCCTCTGTGGCGAGTTAGGCCCACTGCTACAGAAGTGTGCCACTCTGTCCTGCTGGCAGATGTGAGCCCAGACCCTGGAGCCAATGTTCAATGCCAGTAGCACCCAAGATTTCAAAAGTTGAACCCAGTCTCCATGGAAAAGATGAAAGTGATGAGGAAGTTAGGGGTGGCTGGGAGCTGCTTATTAAGATGGGACCATTTGTGGGCGACATAGGTAACACCTAAGAACTGAACATTTCACATGTAAATCCAGCAACAGTAATTTTTAGTTAATTTGAGAAGAAACTCAGGGACGTTTTCCCAGCTTTGCTGGTGTGGGGCATGGAGACAATAGTGTTGCATGACACCTTCAGTCTTGGCATGATAGTGCCCCCCACTGTGGGCACACGTGTTAAGATAAAGCCTTATTGTCTCCAGTCCTATAGCCTCTCTGCCATGTGAAGCAGAGGAAACTTGCACACACTGCATCCAGCCCCTTGCCTTAGCAGGGTTACTACGTGCATTGGGATTGCTTTTTCTTTTTTTCTTTTTCTTTTTTCATTTAAGAGGCAGCATCCAAAAGATGCCGCCCACAGAGACAAATGAAGCCACTTGTCTTTCTAGCTTTGTTGGCATGGGGTGGTGTGCACTGGTAGAAAGGAGAGGGAGGTTAAATCAGAAAAGTGGCTACGGCTGGTTGACATGTTTGTGCTAAATTCCTGTTATGTTATAAACATAAAACCTCCTGAGTATTACTCATTGTCGAGAAGTAAAGAGATGGATTCTGAGAGACCTACTCAGCATAGACAGAAGAATGATGAAGTAGTGACGGCATTGGGCTTCTAGGTTAAGCTGGTGGCGAGTGTTCGGGGACAGCTGCCTCTCCTCCTGCTGGAAACTCACTAGGTCTGTATTAGAGAGACTGATTTTTTTTTCCAAGGAATAAGCCCAGAAATGCATGAAAGAAAAGAAAAGAAAAGAAAAGCAGGTTGTACTGGTTTGAACAAAATGGTAAATAAATCTAAGACTAACAGAGAGGCACCCACACTGAACAGAGCTAGCAACCAGCAGCCCAGACTTTGAACAGAGAGAAGTCTGCTTGCTCTTTGGCTGTTGGCTGGCATCTGGAGATGTGGGTTTCAGGAAGGTTCCCAGCTTTTCTAGCTGATAAGAGTATCTGGATCACTATGCCCAAACTATTTATGAAAACAGCATAGAAGGGGACGAATGAGGACCTTGCCTGTGAAGAAGGACAAAAAGATGAAGAAATCAAAAATATGAGATAAAAGGTAAGAAATTCAAAGTTGAAGTTAGTTCAAATGCAAACAGCAGAAAGCCCAGAAGGGGGTGGGAGATGGAGGATATGAAGAAGACATAACCAAACCATGAAGAAATTGTTTGATAAAACAAGCAAATAAACATCAATTCATAGGTTTAAAAGACTTGTCAAAATGACACCCACTTGGATAACTAATCAGCTAACTGCATTTGGGGTGACAAACCATATTCGTCACCTACAGCACTGGGACCCTGCGCACAGGAAGTATTCCATTCCAAAGGAAATTCATTCTCAACCTAAAAGTCCTACCAACATCTCAGCACAATTTGTGGGTAGCACAGATGTTCTACGAGGATAAGGAAGTACCAGGTATTTGTCTTGAAGGCATCCTTGCTTAAGCATGACACTACAGGATGTATTCAGCAAAACAAAAATCAACTAAGAAAAATGATAACTTGAAAAACAAGAAATAAATCCTGAACAAAGAAAGAAGGGAAGGGACGCCTCGCAGGAGGCGCAGAGTACAGTGCCTGTCTGCCAAGCACAGAGCACAGCAAAGCCAGTTTTGAGGAGGGTCACTTGTTCTCAGAGGGATTTCTTCAGTCACATGCAGTTGATGATGTCCCTGTTGTATCTGAGTACCAAATGGATGGTGGATTTATAACAAATTCATAGAAACTAAACAACTTACCCCCCGCCCCAGGAAAGAGAGAGAGACAGAATCGTTAGCTTGAACTGTAAAGGAAATAGATAAGAAACATAATCACAGCATTTCATATCACTCTGATACGAATAGTGATCGAGCAGTGGTAAGTGCATGATTGGGTTTTGAAATAACCAAACTTATCTTAAGGTGATGGGAGATAAGAAGGGCTGCAATAATGTGGTTGACATAGGGAAGGAGATGGAAGTAAAGAGGTAAATCTGCTTTTTCTATATGAACCGTTATTTGACAATGACTAGTACTGGGAAATTCAAGTTATTAGTTCTGTGATTAGAATCAAAATATTGAGCTGCAAGAGACAAAAAATAAAGCAATTCTCTGACTTTAGCAAAGCTTTGTGAGTGGTTAAGCTCTTGCCTTATGCATGTTTAGCACTGATTTAAAAATGTATGGTATGGTCATAAGTAGGCATGATATGTTGTTGGTTTTCTCTCTAGTGAAACATTCTTTATTGCCAAGTGGAGGAATCATATTATAGAACTGCCTCAAAGGTCAACCATCTGTCCCCAATTCTATAGCACTGGTACTTATAATCACTGCCAAATACATCAATAAGTACTCCCAGCACATTTTTTATCATCCTTGTCTTAAATTCCACCCCCATCCAGACATATGGTGTGTCTCACTTGACAGATTTTGAAATCTACTCTTCTACTCAGCTCCCAAAGACCCTCAAACCTGTGGCTATAAGGGAAGTGTCTGGGGATGATGGGGTGGAGGTTAAAATGAGAAACACCTTCAATTAACAGGGGGAAAGATGGGAAACTTCCTGTAGACTGGAAGACACCATGCCCTTCGTTACCATGTGAATACTGTGCTACTCTATGCTAAGCTTCCATTAATCTCAAACTAAATAGTACGGGGTCTGAAAAACACATCCTGATCCTATCATTTAAATAAAATAGTTAAACTCACCACCAAGATAATCAGCACCTTATTAAGTAAAAGGAAGATGTCGTTTTAGAAGTTGCTTTTTTCCACATGTAATTTTGTTATTTTCTAGTCTCATCTGCACAGGAGACAGCTTTTCTTTTTTTTGAGATGATTTATGATTTGTGTGCTCTGTTAACTGACAATTTAACATAAATGAGTTTTTAATTTTGTACAGCAGCTTTGAGTACCTCGGGCTCTAAAGTTTTGAGTGCCCTTGGCTTTCCCTAAAAGAAGGAGCCTCCTCAGCTGGCTAGATGCTATAGGATAAAACATGCTCTGCATCCTCTCTCCCAGGAGTACCAGCCTTGCAACACCAATGCATGCCCAGAGCTGAAGAAAACCACACCGTGGACCCCCTGGACACCCGTCAACATCTCGGACAATGGTGGCCACTATGAGCAGCGGTTCCGATACACCTGCAAGGCCCGCCTGCCAGATCCAAACTTGCTGGAAGTGGGAAGGCAGAGGATCGAAATGCGATACTGTTCCAGTGACGGGACCAGTGGCTGCTCCACAGATGGTGAGGGGTTCTGTGAGAACAAACCACTCCATGGAAGGCCTTTGACCTTATTGCTAAGGCATAAAGGAAGGGGGGAGGTGTTCTTTGTGATTATTTATGGCTAACCTATCTTTATCACAGAGATCCCTATACAACGCAACTGACATTACAGCAAATTTAAGGGAAAGACCCTTGGTAGAAGAACTCAATTACATACAGTCCCCTTATCTACTGGGGACACTACAAAACAATCCCAGAGAATTCCTGGAGGCCTGGATTATACAAAGCCCTATAGATACTTACTGTATTTCTTACACATACAAACTTTAAAGATTTATGTAAAAATGGGGCACAGTGAGCAAGTAACAACCATAAGTAATAAAATAGAGTGAGCATTAGAAAAATATAACAAAATTATGTATATGTGACCTCTTCCTTCAAAGATAAAGGTCGCAGTTTAGGAACTGGCCACAGTTAGCTGAAGTGGAGAGTAGTGAATGTGTGATAAGGAGTCACTTCTATACCAGAGTGGTTTTATAAATTCAATCCCTGTTCAATCACTACTGTGTTATAATAGCTCAAGAATAGACATGAGATTTATTTAGGATGAGAGTACGGCGAGGAAGGGTCAGTAATAAACTGTAGATCGTCTATCATGAAAATACAAGCGGCAAGTAATATTTTCTGTCTTAAACCCTAAAGTGGACAAAGGCAGTGGAATATATTTCTTGGTTTATGCCTACCCAATGATCTTTCCCTTAAAAGCATAGTGGGTAACGATAAGGTAACGGTCTTTGTAATCACTTTGCCCTGACAAATCCCTTGAATGTCATGTCAGCATTGTTCATGGAGAAAGATGGACCTGCCCCTGCCGGGTCCTGGCAGCACCCAGGCGCAGCACTCTGGCAGGTACTTGCCCTTCCTGAACTCAAGTCTCCGCTGCAGAAATGAGCTGATCTTTGCCCCCAGTCCTTTCTTCTTTGCTTTATTCTTCCTATTTTATACTTCTAATTGCATAAAAGCTCTTCCGGTTCTGGAAAGTACACGGACATTCATAGAAGGGTCCTCAGAGGTCGGCTTGACGAGAGCACTAACAGTTGTCTCTTGCGACAGCATTCACAAGCATTTCTCAGCACTTCCATGTTTGTGGTTCTATTTGATACTCCCAACAAGGGTGTGCCACAGAGCAGCCTGGCACCGCAGAGAAGACGTCTTCAGACATGGGGGGGGTCACTCAGCAACGGTGGCTGCTTATTGGACTGATATGAATAGGTTACATGTATGGAAGCATTGCAAGTTTCTTATCATAGGCAACCTCTGAGGGATGGGCCCCTCTGCTCTCAAGCCACAGGTCTCTGTGTTTTCTCTGGGACCTGGGTGCCAGCCTTGGGCCTGACAGTTCTTGCTGAGCGCCATTTGCTATTGGAGTGCTCCCCACCATCCTAGTGTTTTTGTAGATATTGACCTACCTCAGAAAACTGATGTCTATAGCAATCATACAACTCAGTTTCTTTTTTTTAATATTTTATTTATTTTTATTTTATGTGTATGCATGTATTGCCTGCATGTAGGTAAGTGCACCCGTGTTGTGCAATGCCCGCGGAGGACAGAAGAGGCTGCCAGATCCCCTGGGACTGGAGTCATGAACAGTTGTTACCTGCCATGTGGGTGCTGGGATTCGAACTCAGGTCTTCTAAAAGAACAGTCAGTGTTCTTAACTGTTGATCCATCTCTCAAGCCTCAACTCACTGTTTCTTATAAAGGAAAAAGGGTCTTATGAAAATAAATGTACAACTGAAAACTAATATTATCACCTCAAAGATGAGCAACAAAATGGCAATCACTCTTCCTCTTTTCCTAAAACATGGTTGTCACTTAAAGAAAAGGACTTACTTGGAAATGCCAAGAAAAAGCTAACAGTAGACCCAATAGTAAAAGGTATATTCCATAACAGATGAGCTTATAATTTCAAAGTCATTCAATAAAATATGACAATTCAGTGGTTAAGAGCACTGGCTGCTCTAGCAAGTGACCCAGGTTCAATTCCTAGTACCCACATGGTAACTAACAACCATCCCTAACTCCAATTCTAGGGGAATCCAATGCCCTCCTTTGACCTCCATTGACATTGCACAATGCGGTGCACTAACATACATACATACATACACTCATAAATAGATAGATGATAGATAGTTAGATAGATGATAGATAGATAGATAGATAGATAGATAGATAGATAGATAGATGATAGATAGATGATAGATAGATGACAGACAGACGGATAGATAGATGATAGATAGATAGATGATAGATATAATAAATAAAATATTAATATGACATTTCAAAGATGAATTTCAGATGTTATTTCAGAATTTTTTCTAGTATACTACATGATGTTAGGATAATTACATCCCATCCGATTTTTCAAATACAGCTATGCCCTATGCATTCTTTGGAAGAAGTGGAATACACATACCCTAAAATATCATTCATGGTTCATCTTAATGTTTAACTGATCTCTGGTCATTTTACTTGCTGAATGTGGCAACCTTATCATCAAGTCACTTACACCCTATTCTATATAGGCCATGAACACTTTTTTATTATAGCATCAAAGTGAAAATTAGAAAATTAATTATAGTATAACTCTATAATTGACCTTGCTTTTCTTCCCAAACACGTATTTTTTTACTCTTTCCATTCTCAGATACATACAAAACAAAAGCTAATATGTGTCTTAAATATTAATAGTATAAATTTAGGAATAAATTAAATACAAGTTTATAAAAAGACATCCCATATTTATACCATGAGCATAGCTTACAAAGAACTTTTTCTTCCTATGCTTTGATGTATATGAGTTCTAAAGACAATCCTCATCACGTATTATTAACTTAAAAACAGAAAATTGGACTTGTTTGCTTCTGACCACACAAAATGAAGCTTAACTGTGCATAGTTTTTTTGTTTGTTTTTTTATTTTTTGTTTTTTATGATCACAAAATACTGGTTCCTCTCAGACAGCCACTTTAATGCACATCACAGTTTCTAAGTAAACAATAGATTTGCTCAGCCGCAGCCATGGCTGTTGGCGTGTTTCTTTCCTTGTGAGAACAACTGACCAGGACTTCACCGAACGGCTTGAGAGGTATTTGTGAAAACTTGTGTCACATTACCTATATCTGAGAAAATTACTGAGTAGGTTTAATATTGCAAATGGGGATGCATATTCATCAAACACAAATTTTGACCGAGTCATAATAAATTAAATGCTCGGATCAGGCCTGACACACAAGGTGTTTTCAGAAGCTAGTTGTATCCTCTTATGATGCCTGCTCCCTCCCAGCATCCTGGCTATGCTGTTCTGCTATTGTTCCATTGGCTCCCAGACAGCAGGATCAGAAGGGGATTTTCTCAAGCAAATCAGTGTCTCCATAGCCTGTGGTTAAGGTGGGATGAACCCTGAGCCTTTCACAGCACGAATTCACACAGGAGAGGCTGATGGTAAAGGAACAGGTCAAGGGTATGTCTGGATTACCTTTCCCTTTAATGCCCTCCCTGCAACGCCACTCCATGGTGTGTGAGGGCAGTTTCAGGTAAAACTTCCAAAGGAAACTTTTTAAATGGTGTGTTTTCTTTAGAAGCGTTTACAAAAAGAATTACCAATATGAACCAGCTAACTGTGTAAAGTCACTGGCAAGTTCAAATGGAGTGCCCACATGTGCCCTAGTTAGATAGCGATTTCAGGAACGTAGCTTTAGTTTTAGGAGGCTGTCCCTCGTCCGCAGTGGGTTTTGTCTTTTGAAGTGTGAAAACGGTTTAGTTGATGACTTCAGTAATTCTAGACATATTCAGGACAGAGTTGGCCCAGGCCGTGGCCACTCTGAGAATTCCCACAGAATCACACTTTGGGTTTCTTTGGCAGGGCTTTCTGGGGACTTTCTGCGTGCTGGGAGATACTCTGCCCACACAGTCAACGGGGCGTGGTCAGCCTGGACTTCCTGGTCCCAGTGCAGTAGAGACTGCAGCAGGGGCATTCGGAACCGGAAGCGTGTGTGCAACAACCCAGAGCCCAAGTTCGGGGGCATGCCTTGCCTTGGCCCCTCCCTGGAATACCAGGAATGCAACATTCTGCCTTGCCCAGGTAAGCGGATCATGGTGTGGAAAAGATCTAGAAAGCCAAGTGCCTATAGCCCTTAAGGTCCTGAGACCCACTGGAGAGCTCTCTGTGTCTGAGATGTGTGTTCCCAGAAGCAGGTGGGGTGATGGCCAGGGCACCTGGTGGATTAGCCTGTGAACCCAGAAAGGATAAAAGAAAGGAAAATGTTTACAGAAGAGTCCTCACTCAGCCCACTTAGCCCAGCCTTGCCAGCTGACTGGATGCCATTCCCGCCCGTTTAAAACCTTCCTTCAGGTGCTGGAAAGATGCCTCAGTGGTTAAAAGCATTGATGTATCTTCCAGAAGACCTGGGTTGCGTTCCCAGCCGCCTGCATGGCAGCTAACAGTCATCAGTACCTCCACTTCCAAGGGATCCAGCGCCCTCTTCTGGCCTCAGCAAGCACTGTACAACATAGGCAAAACTCTTGTCTAGGAGGGACTCTCCCTCCATATTGCCTGGTACAAAGGCAAATATAATCTGCAATGAATCATATTCAGGATTTTCTTCAGATTTTAAAAAAGTCCAATGAGCCGGACGTGGTGGCGCATGCCTTTAATCCCAGCACTCAGGAGGCAGAGGCAGGTGGATCAATGTGAGTTCAAGGTCAGCCTGGTCTACATAGTGTGTTCCAGGACAGCTGGGGCTACAGGGAGACCCTGTCTCAAAAAGACAAATAAAATAGTCCCATGACTAGTAATAATCAGATACATACAGATTAAAGACGCATGCGCCAAAATCTCAGTGTTAGCAAAAACAATGAGTCTTTTTGTAAGAATAGTATATTTTAGAATGAAATGAAGATCGTTTTTGAATGTTAAAAACTTATACAATTTTATGTCTTACAGAGCTTATACTGAGTTCAATACTGTGTAACTGTATTGATTAAACAGCGAACCTAGAAATTTTATAGCCACTTTTGAAGGAGCTGTGTCTTTGCTCTGGAAACTGTTGTTGGGCATGTTAAAGCTGTAATGATATGCTTCTTCTAAAAAAAAATAAAAAATAAATTTTAAAAAATGTAGGAAACAGCATATCTTGAAAAAAAAAAATAGTTCCATAAAGTTCCATGAACCACTGCACGGAACATGTGCTCTAGGCCCTATCACTAATGGAGATGGCAGCCCTTTGACATGGCCTGCAGAGATATGTAGTATTCCCCCAAAGTAAACATTAGCCGCCAGCAGGACCCAGATAGACCAGCTGTTCCAGAGCTGACCTCCACCATGTTCAGTCACAAGTGCTACAGCAGGCACCAAAGGCCAGCACCCAGTCCCATCTCATCCTCTGCACAGAGGGGCCCACTTCATGAATGTCCTCTAAAAGGACAGCGCTGTGTGTGGACTTCCTCCCAAGGCCAGACATTCCCTGCTACCGAATCTCCAAACAAACCCAGGAACATTTGAATGAGCTCATTGGAGCTGACGCTTCCCTTTGCCTCAGTGTTCTGCCCCGTTCCCACCCCCCACCTTTGTTCCGAATGGGGTGCTGTCACCTATGCTGCTTTTGGCTGACCTTGCATAGTCTCAGGCACAAAGCTATGTAGCCATTATAGATCTTGATTTGTGTGTTCCACCTTTGACTTTTGTCTGAGTGCAAGCTCCAGGAGGTTAGGGATATCTATGGAAGTCGCACAAACCACAGTAGCCGCAGCTTCCAGCATAGGCCTGGCACACATACAAATACCTGTGGACAATTGTCAGATGGTCTGGGAAGAAAGTGATGGTTAATTGATCTTCCTTGCAGCTGACACATTGTTTGTATAGTCCATCTCACAGCAAAGTCTTTGATTACCCACTGTGTGTGACTCATACGATACACAGCAGTGTAGTGATGTGGTCCAGGTCAGAAAGGAATTTCAAGTTCACTGAGCAGGTATCCTATAAATAATGTCAGCTTGTTCTGGTCACAGACTCCTGGGTTGGTAACGTGATGCGGTTGGCTACATCAGCTGAGGACCTACTGAGCTCAAATCATGACAGTTATACCCCTCAGTGCCTGTGAGCTGAGTAGTGAGAAGCCAGGGGAGGTTAGCTAATGGATGAAAAGTCATATGTGGGGAAGGATCTTTCCAAACTATGGCTTTTAAGGGCATAAATATCTTAGCAGCTTTTCTAGCAGGTACACACAATTTCTGAGTTCTTTGAGAAAGAAAAGAAAAAAAAAAAACCAAACAACCTGAGTGTTTGTAAGAGTTTAGCAAGCATTTGTTGGTGAGTGGACAATTGGATGGATGAATGGATGCGTGGGTGATTCAGTTGATGGATGGATGGTTGGTAATGGTTGGTAAACATGTAGATAAAACTGAAATCACAGTCCCCAGCTTTGTAGAAGAGGATTTTCATGATGTCCTTGTGCCTACAGCTGTGCGGTTCTCTCATGTCTGTCTGCTTGAATTTCTCCAGCTTCAGGAGATTCTGCCTCAGAGCACACAACTTTCCCAGTGAAACAAGTGCTGAGAATCCAGGAAAGGTCAAAGAGCTGTTCTTTCCCACAGCCCATGTGGAAAAATTCCTCCCCTGGGTGCTGGGAGGCAGCCCGTAGGCGATGTCACTAGAACTGAGTCGATGCTGTGAACTGGAGCCAGGGAGGATCTCATGGGCATGCCAAGCTCCCTCTGCACCCCTCTTGTCCCCAGACTCCAGACTCAATTCCTCATGTCCATTAGTAGACCGGGTGGATTATTCTAGATGTTTGTTCCTGCCCTGGTCCCTGGAGGTAAAGGCTGCTCATCCATCTCAGGGACACTCCATTAGCATCATCTATGGGTAGTTTTGATTCTAGTTGACCTGTTATTGAGCGAGGGCTCTGTAAATATGACCTCAGTATCTTGAAATAACTCAGTCCCCATTTTTTTCTTTAAAAACCAAGATTCCATAGAGTTTTATGGAGTTGATCAGAGTGGCCCATGTCTCTTTGCAGAGGGGACTGGACAGATTTAGGGCTGAATGTGTAAATGTCAGCTTTCTCTCCCACCTCCTAGTAAATTCCTAAAAATATGATAACTCAGCTATGAGCTGATGGGAAGCCCTAGAGCTGTGGAGGTTTGCGCTGTAAGGACAAAAGGAAGCCAGTTGTAGGGCTATGTTCATCTAATTTAGAACATAGTCTTCTTCTTCAATTGATGTTTTTAACTATTAGGTTCCTAGTAAATAATTGCAAAGGACACTGCTATTTTATTTTGAAAATGAACGTTCTTGGGGCTGGAGAGATGGCTCAGTGGATAAGAGCACTTAAAAGCGTGAGGACCTGTGTTCAAATTCCAGCACCCACATGAGTTCACAGGCATGGCTGTGTATGCCCGTGTCCTTGTTTGTTTCTCCACTGCTGTGACAAAATACTCTGACCACTACCAACTTGGGGAGGAAAGGGTTTATTCAGCTTATATCTCCCAGGTCACAGTTCATCAGGGAGCCCAAGGTAGGAACTCAGGGCAGGAACCTGGAGGCAGGAGCTGGAGCACAGGCTATGGAGGAACACTGCTTACTGACTTGCTTCCCTGGTCCTTGCTCAGCCTGCTTTCTTATGCAACACAGGCCTACCTGCCCAGGGGTGGCACCACCCACAGTGGGCTGGGCCCTCCCACAGCACTCAACAATCAAAAAGATGCCCCACAGACATGGCCACAGGCCAGTCCTATGGAGGAAATTCCCAATTTGAGGCTCCCTCAACCCAGGTGAGTCAAGTTGACACTAAAGCTATCCGGCACAGCCCATCACCCCAAGATTGTGGAGTGGAGACAGGAAAGCCTCAAAAGCTTCCTGTCCAACCAGCCTAGCCAAATGGTGAGCTTCTGGTTCAGTGACAGACCCTGTCTCAAGATAATAAAGTAGAAAGTGATAAAGGAAGACATTCAACATCCTTTTGGCCTCTCCATGTACATATACTGGCACAGGTGCTTCCAACTCACATGCATGTACTGCGTGCTCACGCACGCACACACACACAGCAAGATAGATAGACACTCTCATTTAAATTTGATATGAATATAATTTTAAACAAACTATAGGCATTTAAAATATCCTCTAAACTATGTGTATAATAATAAACTATAAGTTTTTAAAGTTAAGCCCTAGGTGAGCTCAGGGGTAGAATGCTTATCACAAATGTTCAAGGCCCTGGCTTCCAGTCCCAAAATACAAAGTAAATAAATAATAAGTAAAGTCAAGCCCATCTTAAAATGATTATTTCTTCACTTTCTGAACCTCCTCCTACATAATTTATCTCCACATGGAGAGGCAGGTTACTGGTCTCCTTCATGCCTTTTTCTCCTGGCGTGTTTCATGCAGCACTAAAGACTCAGGCCTCCAGACCTTGACTGACAGAGACAACAGATGGTTCTGTGTCTCTATGTGTATTCAAATCAGATGAAAGTAACTTCAGAGTTGTATTCAGACCCCCACCAAACCTAGCACAATAAACATAAGCTCCTCTGATCAGATTTAACTCAGCTGGTTCCATTTTGTCTTTATTCTGCAAACAATGAGGTCCAGGGAAACAGAACACTGAGAATCTGACCGAAGGGCACTCTGATTCTAACTGTCGACTCTGGCAGCTGCGTGTTCTCCAGAGAGCGACACACACACACACACACACCTGTGGTGTCCCCAGGACACTTTCATTTTTATGGATGGCATCTCTGTGTCTTTCACCTTCATAGGGGCAGGTAGTGAATATGGGAAACTTCTGCTCAAAGATCCTAGAGGAGCAGAGAACCCCTGCTCTCTCTCAGTGCAAACCTGTGCGGTCCAGGCCTCAGCACACTGAGGAATCAGCACCCAGGTGCCCTCATGAGCTGACAGGTAGTAAATGCTCCACTTTATCCCTTTGACCACCCACAGTGGTGACCGGCATGCAGGTTAATTATGTAGTTTGCATTCTCTCCTTCATCACTGGTCACTGTACTCTGTGTCTTACCACAGCAGTTCAGGATTTAGCTAGAATTGCAAGAACTCAAATTTTTAGTCATCTTTGCATGTCATTTAATCAAAAATAGTTCCCTGCAATTAATTGTTTTGTCTCCTTCAAAGAAGCACAGGTGTGAGCTTCAGGGAGTCGTCTGATCTTTCCATAAACCAGTCTTACTCGGGCGAAATTAAATGGTGATTCAAGCGACGAGCAGATTCCAGTGTGGTTCTGTGGCACAAGAACTGGAAGAAGTTGTGTGAATTGTAGGAATGTCTGTTGCCTGGATTCTTCACCCTTAGCCTAAGTCTCTTCAGGCCAGCTAGAGAGTAAAAACAGCAAAGGTGAATGCTAGCTTGGTGCTGCACAGTGATTACTGTGGCGTGTGATTCATGATTCCTCTCAGAGACCAGAAGCTTTAAATCACGTTTTGTGCTTCCGTGTCACACTCTTCTGCTTAGAAATTATATGCTTAGAAATATTCTGTGAGAGAACAAACAAAAGGATGTAGAAAAGGTTGGGAGAGTTCTTCAAAGCTGAACCTAGTACTAAGAGGTTAGCCTCAGGTGCCCGGACCCCAGGAGCGGCTTGCAGCTCTGTGTACCTCTGTCTTCTGTAACACACATCCTGTCTGTGGCTACATCACATTGGTCTGGTTGGGATTTCAGAAGTATCTTTATGTCTTTTCCCAGTGGATGGCGTGTGGTCTTGCTGGTCATCCTGGTCAAAGTGTTCAGCAACCTGTGGTGGTGGGCATTACATGAGAACTCGTTCATGCACGAATCCAGCCCCAGCCTATGGAGGGGACATCTGCCTGGGACTACACACAGAGGAGGCACTCTGCAACACACAGACCTGCCCAGGTATGCCGTGCCTTGAATACCACATGATTTTAGCTCAAATCCACTTCCTTCCTTGATGGTAAATGATGGAGTTGATTGTAAGTCACAGTGAGTACTCAAACTGGGGTATATGATGGCAAGTCAACCTCGCACCATTGCCCTTGATAGGACTTCATAACACATTGCTCTACAACAAAATAGTTTTTGCATTGTGTATACATGCTATTAGAACACCCAGACTTCCTACTTAGGAAATATACCCTTGTAATTAACACTTACAACTCTCAGGTTGCTGTGATGAGGGAGAAAAGGTTGGACCAAAGAAGAGGGAAGGAAGTTAAGAACTGAGAGCTCCCACCCCTGTGTGGACGTCTCAGCGAGAGAGAGAGACCTGTGGCTCTGTGTTTAGCAGTCTGCTCAGGCCCAGATGTGTCTGCCGATGATCCCCGTGTTGTATGCTTGAAACAAGTGCTGGAATATTTCAGGGGAACACTGGCCTTTCTGGGAGGACACTTCACTCAGGGACAAAGGTAGTGCAATTAGAGAAAATACAACACATGAAATCAGTAAGCAAAGGATCAAAGCCAAGCACTCAACAGAGTGGTCATAAAACATTCCTAACATGAATGACTGATCACAGCACCTGGGATTTGCTGTTGGAAATCAGGGTGGGGAGCAGGAAGTAAAATGCCAATCACAGGAAGTGAGCAGTCTCAGCGCCTAGAATGAAGGAGCTCTGAGCCCCATGGTTGATGTAGAGTGTACTGGAGAATCCTTCACCCAAGAGGTATTCTGACATGCAGGCCACTTGAAATGAAAGTGAGATGCTTTTTCACATGTTTAAGTTAAAAAAGTTCACATTTTTAACTTAGACATTGAAACACACACACATTATTAACTTGCATCCACAGATCTTTCTAGAAGATTCTAGCTACATTTAAATGGGCCTTAAAAGAAATGATCCTTCTAAAAATTGGTATTTTATACATTACAAAGGGAAAAATATTCCCTTTACATGTATCAAGGAACAAGTTGAATTTCCAGATTTTCCCTCAAAATGCATAGAAAAAAATATCCTTTTTTTATATTGGTGACTAGTCCATAAATAACATGAAGAATTCATTCCTTAGCCGTTTTTGAGTGGTATTCCTATTTTGAAACATCGATACACCTGAATGAATTGAAAGGTCTTCTAACAAGTCTTCTCCCTTAGGACAGCATCTTTCCATTGCGCCCCTTTAGCCTTGACCCAGGACCTGGGAATTGACTTTCTTCCTGTCTCTCGCCTGGAATAAAACAAACTCTACCTCAAGGCTGGCCTGGCTTTGTATATTGACTTTGCAGAGTAGATTTTATTGCAGGAGAGAAAGTGCTTTAAAGTTCCATCTGGAAACCAGGGAGTTCTCAGCATTCTGCTTTCACTGAGCTTAGAGCCCTGCAGGAAATGTTCAGGAATTTTTCAAGAAATAATTTGGGGGTTGCTTTTTGCAGAAGGGCCTTGCTCTGCCGGAAATGCTGTCTTATTGATGGTTTCTTACTCCCAGTGCTGTTGGTGTGTCTCAAGAATTAGCTTATTGAGCATCTAAATAGAATTACTCATAGAATTCAAATGATGTGGGATTTAGAACATTTGTTTGAAATCCATTATATCTGATGAAAATATGCTAGTTTTTATTCATCTTCATGTGAACTTACTGGACTGGCAGGAAGCTGTGACTGGAACTTGTTTATGCTCAGAGCTGCTAAAAACCACAATATGAAAACCTAAAATCCTGAGTAACCTGACAGTGCGTCCATGCTGACTGACATTATCAGGTAACCCTGTCCCTCTCCCCTTTTCTGCTCTCTGCAGAGAACTGGTCAGAGTGGTCAGACTGGTCTGTGTGTGACCCGTCTGGTGTCCAGATCCGTTCACGCCGGTGCATCCTTCTATTCCCGGTGGGCAGCCAGTGCTCTGGAAACACCACGGAGAGCCAGCCCTGTGTATTTGACTCTAACTTTCTTCCCGGTAAGCACCGAGATGTTTGTTAGTGTGAACAGTCTTTCTAACATCCATCCAAAGAAGAAGCAATTGATAACATCACAATTTTATCTGCTGTGCTTAGAGAAACAGATTTGATCATATCAACTGTTGTGGTTTCAGGATGATTAAAATAAAAATCTACAGGTATCTGCAGATTTAGACTTGAAGTCAGTATAGTGTCTTAATTTATTGATTCTAATATAGTCTGAAGATTTTGCTGCAAACATTGAAAACATCATTTGCATGTTTTATTATTGGGTTAAATACTTTGCTTTGGCAATGCTGTGTACATTTGGACAGAGAAAAGGGCCATTGTCCTTATGCAACCCTGAAAATTCTTAGGAAAACGGTGTCATTAGTGTCACCTTGGAGAAGAGGTTGGTTGGTCTTCTTGCCACAGACTTTTTAATGGGAAATCAGCATTCAGTTAGAGGGGGCAAATTACTTGTTGCATTGACCCTGTTGCTGGGGACTTCTGCATGTGTATAAACCACTTCAAACAGCCCATCTATCTTTGGGACATGATATGGACTAAACAGCCCACCATCTATCTTTGAGACATGATATGGACTAAAGCCAAGGCCAAACTATTGAGAAGACATAGAAGGATTAAGTTCTATGAGCCATATTTTCTTCATTAACTTCTGTTTATGGAAAAACAGCAATACTTGACATACTTATTAGCATTAGCCTTAGAAGTCATCTCAACCATGTATGGTGTATTATGAGAACAGTGTTAGTTTTCTGTTCAACCATTCTCAGTTTTTGTTCTCTAATAAAAGTCAGTGAATGGGGACCTGGTGTTTCCAGATTCCTGGGGCGCTAACACCCTCAGCAAACCTGCTGTCATCCACACCCTGCTAACGGATCTCTCCATGTGACAGGAGAAGGGGAGTAACGGGGCTGTGAACAGTGGTTTCCTATGAGCTCTGACAATTCAGTCCTCTTCCCACATGGATGTGACAACACGGGAAAAATACAGGGCCATGTAATGGGGCCCACCCAGCTGACTGGACATATCATGGCTAAATCAGCACTTCCTGTGGTTTCAAACCTCAGGAGCCCATACCCTGCTACTAGAGTTGATGCAGCCAAATCCATCTTGAGTTTATTAAAACAAAGAAAAATTATCATTTTTTTAATAATTAGTCAAGCTTTTGAAACAGATGCACATGGAATTCAAAATCATTAGACGTCTGTAAATGAAGCATTAATGTGAATTTCTCTCCCACTTCCTTTGTGCATTTGTGATTAGACTTTTGTTTTTCCAGAAGTGTCTGTGGCAAGATCCAGCAGTGTAGAAGAGAAGAGGTGTGGAGGTGAGTTCTCCTGTAGTGGATCTCCTCTTGGGCCCTTTTCTTTTCCCTGAGAGCTCTGCTGGTGTCCCCTGGGCTGCAGTCCCCTTACACCATTGTCTAAATGCATGTGGTCAGATTGAGGTGTGGTTCTTAAAGTGGGGTCTCGGCCAGAGCCAGCATCCCCTGGAAACTTGATGGACATGCAGGTTCTCAGGCCCCAGAAACAGAGCCTCTCTGAGTGGGACCCAGCAGTCTGGTTTAGTCAGTTCTGCAGGTGAATCTGATGGATGCTGTGTTTTATGAGTCACCCATCCTTACATGTGCTGTAAATAGATTTTGCATGAACAAAATGAAATTCAAACAATTTGTTTATATTTATGTGTAATTCTGTGACAGCTCACCCCACATCTCCAGCCCACTGGAGTGACCACAGAGTAATGGAGCATGTGATTACACCTGTATCACCAGGGAAAATTTTGAAACTTTTTGCAATTCTGAGTGCAAAAAGAACCCCACATCATTTGACTGAGCTTTATGCTAAACTTTGACTTCCAATTTGTGTCTTCCATACTCACATAAAACACTAGTCACTTTATGAATGTGCCTGAATGGACAGACTGTCTTTCCAGTGACCAAGGCAAAGCCCTTCTTGTCCACCATTGGTAATGTGAGCCAATACCCATAGTAAGACTTTCACCTTTACACATGTGGCTGATAACGTACAGATACCCATTCCTACCACAGTTCATTCTACCAAGGTAACCCAGAGAGCACATCCCAGTGGGCATTAGTCTCTTCTTAGGGTCTCATGGAATCTGGAGTCTCGGGCATATATTAGGAATGTGCTTCTCAACTTTAACTAGTTTGGTTAAAGCTCATTATCAATTCCACCCCATCTTTGTAGTCAGCTATGTTGGACCATCCACCCTTCATCCAGAATTCTCCATGAGCACCTACTCTGTATTAGTTTTGTCAGGGTTGTTGAGCTTATGTTGAAGATCTGAACTGCTCCAGTCCCTCCAGAGCAAATATTTCCATCATAAGAGGTCATAACACCTAGCATAAGCTTGGGGTTCAGTAAGTTCACCGACAACCAGTTACTAGTGGGGACTCCAGTTAAGAGATGAATATGCACCAGTTCACTAGAAATAATCACAGCAGTGAGTATCTATCTTTCCAAATTAGTCCTGATTATACCAGACACTCTATCAAGTGCTTCAGACAGAAGTGTCCTATCTGGGTCTCACAAATAACATCCACATAGATGCCACTATCCACAATTCTTTATGTGAAAGATCTGGAGACAGAGTAGAGATTTAGAACTCAACATTTTCAGATCCCAGAATGGAGACTCAGGACTCATGCTGGGATTGTTCAGCATCCACGGGCTCTGGCACTCTTCCTAACCAACCCCTACTGATCGGTGGTCATGAGATGTGGACCAAAAGACTCAGTCAGCCCAAGTCACATTTTGCTGCTAGATGAGGGAAAATTATCAGTTCTTGTGGGCTTACGCTGGAAATTGTCTTAAAAGGAAGGTAAGCATAGGTTTTAATCTGTACCACATAGGTGAGGACTGCAGAGGTCAGTGAGGTGAGGTCATTCGCCCAGGTCCAGACAAATCTTAAGTAAGGGATTCAGTGCTAGGATCCTGGCAGTGAGACACAGTGGGAGTTTTAAATCCAAAACATGGGAAAAGGGTCCTGGAAGTTGCTAGGACTTTTGTGTCCAGGAACCTCTACAGCCCTGCCTAGCTCTTACTCCTGATCAGAACCAGGATCCAGACAGTGTGCTTGCCTCTGTGGACTCCAGATTAAGTGTGCAGTAGTGTAGATGTAGTATTCTGTCTCCAGAGAGGCAAGGACAAATTGGAGGTCACACAGATGGCACCTCGGTAGAGTTGCTGGCCATCCAGGCTTGCCGTCAGCATCTTGCAACCTTCTTTGCCCCAGCAGGACTTGTCAGGTATGTGAAAGACCTTCAAGGACCTTAAGCAGAATCCAGCATAAAACCTTCAGTTGTTGGCTAAATCATAGAAACTGTAACTGCTCTGCACTGTTCAGAGGGTGATGGTTTCAGACCACTGAGCTACTGCCCTTGACATTTTAACATAAGGTAAGACTAATACTGAGATATAGCTAATGGGCTTAAAGCAAGCAATTAGGTAGCAAAACTTTCTTGGATGGTTTAGGAAGACATTCTAGATATTTTGTTTCAGTTGCAGAATCAAGTAAATGTTACACAGAAAGCAATCCAACTGAACCAACTGGGTAGTTGGTCTGTACTGCAGCTTTGTTGTGCAAAAACTAAGAACAATGTTGGACTGGTAACGTGGCTCAGAGCAAGCATCTAAGCTGGATGACACGAGTTTCATCCCTGGATCCCACTTAGTGGAAGGAGAGAACTGACTCCAACAAGCTGTCCTCCGACCTCCACATACATGCTATGGTACATGTGCAGACACACACACACACACACACGTGCACACACACAATTGAATAAATAATAAATGTAAAAAGGGAAAAATGTATATTCTTAGGAAAGAACTCCAGTATGCCGAGATTTAGTAGACACTCTTTTCCCTCTGCAGAAAATGTGCTCCTATCGAGATTTTTCAGCTTAGCTATTTTTAGTTGCATGAGACAGAAAGACTGTATAATTGTCATAAAGATGTCAGCTGGTCCCAGCTTCCCCAGGCACCTGCAGGAATGATTCATCTGACTAATGACACAGTATCTGCATGTGGAGACCATTGCACATCTTCCATATGCAGCCATGAAATATGAGTTGTCGGTGCAGCAGAAAGTATTTTTATCAGTCAGTGGCACTGGCCCAGGGGAGTTCTAACAGCTAAAATAGAAATGAGAGCTTGTATGAGATCAGCCTTTGCTTCTCTCCACTATAGCCTCCATCTACAGCAAGAACAAAACAAGAAAACTGTAGTGATTGTTGTGGACAGGGCACAGGATGCTTTATCCAACAGTCACAGGCTGGGAGCCCTCCACCTCCATGGGCTCCTGGACAAACTAGGAAAGGCCCGAGCTTTGTGAACTCCTGTGGTCTTACTGCTGAGCACATGAGCTCAGAGTGAGGAAGTGAGGTGACTGTCAGGGAGTCTGGGTTCTTGTGGAATTCTAGTGTTGTCTCCTGGGTTATCCAGCCATTACCAATGAATGTGGAGCTGCGTTGTCTATTTGGAATTTCAGTGTGTTTAGGAGTGTGCTGCTGATCATGGTTGACAGTGAACCCAAAAGAGGGGAAGCTTGACTTATTATGCCCCACCAGAACGCAGTCTCCAGGCACAGAAAGGAGCACAATGTAGGGGAAAGCTCAGGATTTGGACATGAGAGACATCTTCATCTATCTATCTATCTATCTATCTATCTATCTATCTATCTATCTATCTATCTATCATCTATCTATCACAGATCTTCAATCGTCGATCTGTCACAGATCAGGCTCTGATAACATGTCTGATCTTTTGAGACTCAGCTTTCCAAGGGGCCTCTTGGATACTCTTGGACTTGAATGGGGGATTGGAAGAGGAACTTTGGTAGAGCCCTGGTGTCCCAGGGTTTCATGTCCTTTGGTGAATAATTAGTCAAGTGTCAGAGTTGGCTTCATGCTGGTGCTAAAGTACCTTTTGAGTAGTAAGTGTCAGGAATGGGCACAGAGCAGAAGGAAGGTGGGTCTGCAGAGCTGGGGAGGGTCAGGTGCAGACACCCTAGGGTCTGGGGACAGTAGGCAGGTGTACCAATCTATCCTCCCACTTACTTACTCTGTGGTCTGAGAAGTCACTCTGTACATGCTGCTGTCCAACCTTTTTCTCCTTAGTCCCCCCTGTCTCTGGGGTTGACAGATCATAGAAAGCCAGCAGATGACACTGCATTCTCTGATGATGCACCTGGGTGCCAGCTGGGTGTTCTCAATATGCTTTCTGAGCAGTGGGAACCTGAGGCTGATACTGTGCAAGCAGGAGTTAGTCCCACAGTCCGGGGCAGTGTAGAACGGAGACCACTTCTTTCACACCACTGTCACTTAGCTCAGCTCTGAGCACTGTGCAGATGTTGCCTTTGTGACCAGGAAGCTTGGACTCTTTAACAGCAGTGTTTTCCCAACATACACATGACTGTTTTCAAACTGTTGTTTCTCAGACAACCCGCAGCTCCTCGTGTGCTGGAGGTACAGATCATTGACAGCTCACTTTTTGACTGTTTTACACTCATAAGTCAAGGACGGAAACTCAGAAGGGAATAAATGCCTATTAAGTTAAAAAAAAAAAACAAAAACAGCCGGGCATGGTGGCGCACGCCTTTAATCCCAGCACACGGGAGGCAGAGGCAGGTGGATCTCTGTGAGTTCAAGGCCAGCCTGGTCTACATAGTGAGTTCCAGGACACCTGGGGCTACAGGGAGACCCTGTCTCAAAAAGACCAAAAAAAACCAAAGAACAATTAAAAAAATAAAAAATAAAAAACCCAGCAAGCTAAAAGAGGACCACTGATGGCCAGCTGGAATAGCATATTTAGGGCCTTTTGCACAGATCCTTTATCTCTTAAGAGTAAGTCATTATTTTTATAAGATCATCTAAATGCAAGTGAGCAAAAGTGGTCTACAGAGGGCACCAAATTCTGGACATTGTCTCTAGAACAGCATGGCCAAAACTACTAAAAGTCATTATGTTTGGGAAAGAAGGGTGGTGTACATCTCCTTTATAACTTTTGAACGTTTCTAACATTGTACAACGTTTGTATTTAAAAAGTGTAATGGGTTGCAGCAGAGTTTAGGTAAACAGAAAACACTTTAAAATAAAATGAAAAATTAAAAGAGAGAAGAGTGCAGCATCTGAGAGCCCTGTGGCTTTTTCCTTTGTCCGTAGACTTCACCTATACCAGGTGTATGGATGCACAGCCTGGTAAGATACGCAGACACATTGTACGATAGAAACCCCACAGATCAGAGGTCACTGTGCTCGTGAAGGCTCTCTGAAGGCTTCAGAGAAAAACAGAGATGTACTGTTGCTATGTTAAGATTCAAGGGGTGTTGGGAAAAATTATCATAATTCATGAGAACAAATCCAACTAGACTGCTCGCTGTGGGGAAGTTTCTCTGTGAATAGAAGCACTATGACCTCGTTAACTTAGGAGTGGCCATGGGCTCCTCGTTATGTCTTTGTTTTCACTGAAGTGCTTTGAGAAGTTAGGTAGCATGTTGTTTTTAAGTGTGTCATTATGTATTTCCTGCCCTGCAGAGTTCAACATGTTCCACATCATCGCCGTGGGGCTGAGCAGCTCCATCCTCGGCTGCCTCCTTACCCTGCTCATCTACACCTACTGCCAACGGTACCAGCAGCAATCTCATGATGCAACTGTCATCCACCCTGTGTCGCCAGCCCCTCTAAACACCAGCATAACTAACCACATCAACAAATTGGACAAGCACGACTCTGTAGAAGCTATCAAGGTAAGGAGTGGGTAATGAGGGCTGCAGCCAGGTGACCCAGGAAGGCAGGTGACTCTGGGGCTCATGGAATTGGGGACAGAGAAGGGGTACTACAGATCTTTGAGTGTTGACTGTGTGATCTCTGGCAGGTGTAGATAGTCTGGGTGTTGGGGGGGGTCCCCTGTGGTAGGTGTGGGCAGTCTGTGGGTGCTGGCTGGGTTCTCTGGCAGACCTTTAAGGATTTGCTCATTGGAAATAAAAGTTTAAAAGGGGACAGGAAAATAGCAGCATATAAAATGCGTGAAGTTGCTAGGCCTTTGGCCAGTATCAACCTGTCCCTCACCTGTGCTCTCTGCTTTTGAAGAGAGGTCTCCCAACAGAGAAGTGCCCCAGCTAGGGACAATATATGACTAAGAATTAATAATAAGGGTCAACATGTGGCAATCATATATCCATGTCTGTTTCAAGTATAGACCTGTTTCAAGAATAGACTTGACTTTCCTTCAACCTCTGCATCCTCATATGGAAAATGGATTCAATACTGCAAAGTTGCAGTATTGGTGAAGTTGCAGTGACCTTACCAAGGCCCAGAGAAGGATAGCTTCAGTTCCACATCTGCACAGGAGGTCAGGGTATGGCTGGAGAGACATCAGAACCTGTTGTGGCCTGCATCTACCAGGTTTTTTCACACGTCCATAATGGCAGCCTCTGAAGCAAAGGCTAATTAAATTAACACATTCCTGTTGTTAATGGTTTCCTTAGTATTCGTAGAGAGTGTTGGCATAGCCCTTCCCTGCTGTGATGGCTGCTTTTGAAACCACAGTCCCTTCTTTTATAAGGATATGTAATGTATTAGGCTCTGGAGTCTCCGTGTTCAGTAGATGTCACATCCCAGGATCTGCAATGTCCTCCCTCCCTCCCACCACACAGCTTCCATTCTCTGCCACTCATCCAAAGTAAGTTAACTTTCACCTGTGAACTCAACTTGAACCAGGATCCGGGGTTCAGCAGTGCCTCCCACATTTTGGATGATGGACCGAGGAGGAGTGGTAGACTGAGATCTCCCTCTTAGTCTCTCAGAAAGGAACTGGAATGTAAGAAAGAGCGTGAGCTGTGGGCATTCCAAACCAATCTGCAGAGCTTGAAGCTTCATGCCCACACATCAGCAGATCTGTGGCCGTGTTGGTTTAGGCATTAGTACATGAGTGAGCTGGCCTGTGTTCCTACTTCAGATCCAGTCGCCCCTTTTAGAATCATTAGAAATGCTGCCATGAAGGAAAAGGACCTCCGAGGACACAGATGTCAGTGTGATCTGCAGTGAAGCACTTTCATGTTCCCTAGACTAGTCCTGTACAGCTGGCTTCTGCCTTTCCTGTTTCATCCGCATCTTGGTATTTGTCTTCTCTTTACCTGACACAATTTAGCCCTTTGAAGTTGCAGGTGACTTTAATGAGCATGATGAGGCAGGGTATCTGTGTCCCAGATGGCTACGGCAGACACCTTCTAAGAGCTCAGAGTGAAAAGAAATTAAGGCATTTGAATCAGGTGCACTTGGTCAAATAAATTCGATGAAGTCTCTGATAAATGCAGCTCTCAATGGGAGTCTGGGAGCTCCGTCAGTTCATCCTTACATATATGTGATGTATGTGCACTGTGTGTTAATTTGATGAGTCTTGGAGGTTTTCTAGAGATCTAGACTTAGGTTTTCTCATCTTGCTTCTCTCAGTTCCTTCCTGACTAAGGTGTGAAGTAGGCCAGACGTTACTAAAGACCACAACCTGATTCTGGTTATTAGGCAAGTCTTCCTTGTGGCAAATGATCCGAGGAGCCAGGTAGTGAGAAGATACTTTCTAAAATAACGGAGGCTTAGAAGAGAGCTCAAGGGCTGCAGGGGCGGCTCAGTGGTTAAAAGCACCCAGTACCCTTGCAGAGGACTCACATTTGATTCCCAGTACCCACACTGGGTAGCTCACCACTGCCTAGAACTCCAGCTCCAAGAGAATCTGATGCCCCTGACTTCCCAGAGTACCTGCACTCAAACATGATTTTTTTAAATGACAGAAATAAATCTTTAAGAAGGAGCTCAAATCAAATGTAAGTCTCCTACTTATATTCCTTTGAAATGTACTTACTGAGCATTTAAAATATATTTTACAGGCCTTCAACAAAAACAACTTGATCCTGGAGGAAAGAAACAAGTATTTCAACCCACATCTCGCTGGGAAGACCTACTCCAATGCCTACTTTACAGATCTCAATAATTATGATGAATACTAATTGCTCTTAGACTTCCGGCTTCTTGTAAACTCTCCGCTCCTCAAAGCCGTACTCCATGCCTGCCCATGTTTCTGAGGCTTCAGTAATGATGTTTGAATCAATTTCAAGTGCATTTCAAGCTAAGACTGTCCCCCTTACTACCAAGAACACACATCCTTAAAAGCAGAAAACACCTATTTAAGTGTTTATGGCATTGTGAAAATCTGCTTACAGCAAACATTTGATCGTTGTTAAGTGAACCATGGTATGAAGTTTTTTAAATCGTGCTTCCCCCAATCTCCAACAGGTCTGTTATGTTCATGAGCTTTATTTTATAAATGTGCCAAGCACATGGGAAAAATGCCTTCTGAAACATCCACCTCTTCAAGCTTTAGATTGTAAAACCTCATGAAGTTTTAATTTGAAAAGGCAGGCACTTTATCTGAGAGAGCCCTTCCCTTCACACGGTCCATAGTGTTTCATAGAATGAAGAAATGGATATGGGCAGGCAGTTACCTCTCCCCAAACTGGGTAACGCTGTGGATTCTTGGAAACATCTTATTTGGACTTGGAATGATTCTTCCCTAGGAAAGCCAATGGATTCCACCTGACCTCAGCTGCCCAGGTGTGGTCCACTGAGGCCCTCTGCTGTGGTCTGGGGGTAGTGACTGTCCTCACTGTGGCGTGAACAGTGACTGTCCTCACTGTGGAGCGAGCGTATGGAACAGAGGACAGATGAGACATGAGACAGTGTTCCGCAGTTTGCAGCAAATCTAGCCTTATTGTGACTTTTGGATTTCATGGCACTGCAGGGAGCTCGTTGCCCTGCTGTAGGTCTGGAAGTCTACCCGCCTGGCCATGGGAATGTGCCCAAGAGCCAGACTGTAGAAAAACCATTCATTTATTATTTGGATAGACCCCCACACCTCTACCCTCCCTGCAAAGAACAAATCTTGGACATTTAGAGTGCCAGTTATGGAAAGTATTGAAAGTACCAAAGTATAATTGAAAGTTACTTTTATTTCTGTCGTTATGCATTGTTAAATGAACTGACGTTTAGTGATAATCATCCTTTTGTAAACCACCTCTCTGATGTGGCTGATGTGTAGCAATGGGCCCCTACCCAGAGCATTAATGGAGTGTAAAAGTGTCCCTCTGGAGCCTACCACAGTCCATACTGGAGTGACACTCCGGTACCGTGGACCCATTGTCCCTCCCTTTCCTGCTTCCTCCTCCCATGTCTTCACCTCAGTGCTGTGAGCCCGTCCAGCTGACCCACCCTATCCCATTTCTGCTCAGAAGCAATGGCAGTCAGGCCCTCAAGACATAGCAGGATGGAAGTAGGGGGTTTAGTGATCTCTCTGTTCTCAGTCTTGATCATGAATAGACTTTCAGAGTGTCCTGAGCCCATTCTTCAGGTCCTGAGAAGAAAAAAAAAGTCACTCATTAACAATCAATACATGCTATGTGGGTATGGCTTGAAGAGTTTTTTAAAGGCAAAGACAAAATCATTTGTGTGTGCCTCTGGGCATTATGATAAAGCTTGGATAGACATCCATACATGTTCTTATGGATACATGAACTTTACATCTGGGAAAATGTACAGGAGTGGGGATTGCACAGTTTTATTTGCATACATGTTTTCCCTAGCCAATATAAAGAGGCAATTTCAGAAGTGAAAAATCCCAGGATTCATCATGAATTATTCTTGTAGGAACAAATTTTCAGGCATAACTCTGTTAAAGCTGAAATTAAAATGGCAGGCAGACTCTGAGAGACATTAGACCGTGAACAGAGCTGCACGTTTTCCCTGGGGGCTTCACGTGGTATTTTATTGCAGGTGTTTCTTCTACAGTGTTTGTGGCTTCTGTTGTACACACATTCTTTTTAAAAAAAATTTTTGAGACTGGGTCTCCCTTGTAGCCCCACATGGCCTGTAACTTGTTGTGTAAACCAGGCTGGCCTCAATCTCACAGAGATCTGCCTGCCTCTGCCTCCTGAGTCCTGGATTAAAGGCGCATGCCACCACAAATAGCCCAAGCACACACATTGTTAATTTGGCAACAGAGAATTTGTCAGGTGATTTATTCATTGTCCCTAGGGTGGATTTTTGGTGGATGACTCAAACCCTCACCTTCTTTAAAAAAAGAATAAATCCTCATTGCACAGCATTAATTTAAAAAAAATAGTTGCTGCTTCCTGTGTACTTAATTTTAATTTAAAAGGTCATTTTCTTTCCCCTGGGAAGGAGGATGTTAATGTTTCAAGAACTTCTCAGTAAACATGAAGGGAAATGTTTTCTAAATTACCTCAAAGCTGATTTTTAATCAATCTTATATAATAACTCCACTCCAAATTTTGATATTGTAATACAGACTTTTGACACTGAAAAAAAATTTTTTAAACTCATTTTTTTGTTCACTTGCACTCTGTTCAAAGCAAATTGTGCCCCCTTACACACACACACACGCAGACACACACACCACCACCAGGCCATTGCTTTTAAACATTAGAAAAAGCGGTTGAGAATAACTTGATCTGTGTGTGGTTTTCACCCTCTGTGATGTGCTTTGTTTTCCTGCCAGTATAGAGCTGATGCACTCATCGGGTACAGTGTGTGCTCCACACGCCACACCTCAGTAGCATCTGAATCCACACAGTGGGATGTGCAGAGGATCTGCCATTCACGCTGGAGCCCCCTTTTTCCCAACAGCCCTCAGAATTACTGCTGCACCCTTGTGGACCACATTTTCCATTCTACACTGATGTTTTCATTGTCTTCCTTCCTCCCTAGCTCTCTCCTTGCTTCCCCGGCTTCTCCTTCTTCGTCCTTTGCTACAAGCATCTGTCTGACCCTGACATGAATCACGCTTGATTTTCTAGTTATTTCTGGATACAGTTAAAGTTTGGCTGGTTTTCATTCAGAAACTGGCATCAGTCACATGCTTGCATTCTTTGAAAGTTGGCCCCATTGTTGTTTAGGACCCTTCCTCTAGATTAGACCAGCCTCCACCAATCCTGCTGTGTGCTGACATTGTATAGAAAGAATACAATTCCTGAACATTGTACAGCCCATTTCCAGATATTCTGGGGACTTTCTTGGAACTGAGGGCTCTGTCACCACTGAATGATGTTTTGTCAGTGAGTCCTAAGGAACTCTGGGACACTGGATGAGACCCTGATCCACAGAAAAGCCCCTGGCATCCGACTCATGGTTTTTCCTTCAAAGCTCCCCACTGTAATCAGGGCATATTTTTATGTCTCTGCCCCTTAAAACTTACACCTGGTACCTGAATATCCCTGATCTTATGGGACACATCACAGCACACATTAAAATAGATTCTGCCTCAAATTGGCATGGACATTGGGGGAAAAGAAGGAGGCTTTTTTTGTGTGTTTAGGGGTGAGCAGAAATTCTAAAGGAATTGAAGATACAAAGAGTGGATGGTTGAGAAGGCGACCTGCCATGTAGTCCACATGGTTTGAAGTGGACCGCCCCCCCAGGTCTGGTCCCACTGATTTACAGGTAATATTAAGGAGAAGAGAAGTAGATGTGGTAGGGATGAGATAAGGAGGTAACATGGACAGGTGAAGGTCTTGTCACTCTCCAGTGAGTGTCCTACACCACCACTGTCAGGGTTCTGGCTTAAGATTATGGAAAACCTCCCAGCAGAGGGGACTCTGTGTCCATAAGATGCCACCTCAGGGGTGCATTAGTGTGCGATTGAATAGCTCAAGAAATGTTATCCTAAAGATGCACCAGGTTTACACAGAAATCATTTTGTCTGAGTACAGCTTTAGTGGTGTGTGAACTTATGTGTTTATATTTCTTTGTTATATTTTTGTTTCTACAGTAAACTGCAAATGGTTGCCCTAACATGTCAAGTCAAATTCCTCATCAATTTTTCCCCATGGCCATCAACTTTAATTGATCCTGGACAGTTCAGTGGGACTTTCTTGTTCTGAGTCACACTTTCGGGGTCATTAAGTTCAACACTACAATCTCAAGAGAGAGTTTGGGAGCCCCTACCAGAAACGTCAGATTTCACATATCAGTGGGTGATTCAGTGAACGATATCAGCATCAGATGAACCATTGTCCATGTGATAGGGCTGTACCTAAGTTCCACAGCTCCAATAATTAATGCATGTGAAGTTGTCAAAACAATAACCTTAACTCCTGTGCATACTCCTGGCATTTCTCTGGATTCTCCAGATGGCATTGGGCAGGACCTGCACATCCATTCATCCCAACATCTTCATTGGGCATTTGGAGGTAAATGCTGATAAGGCATTGCCTATATTTTGTGACCTGTTATGATCCGGGAGTACTTGATACTGTCTATTAGCAGATACTGAAAAGTATCATGAGTACCTTACTTTGGGCAATGCATAAAAATAGGAACATATAAATTAATGCTCTTGTTGACCTATGATGCTCTGTGGGGAATGCTGTAAAGGAATTAAATGTCCAGAGCCCAAAAATGGTTAATTTTTCCAGCTAATTTTTTCTATTGTAATCATTAATTTAAATGATCTAAAGATATTTCACGATCCTATAAATACAGAGCCAAGGACTTCAGATTGTCCCTTTGAATCCTTTTCAAACAGAGGAAAGATGTTGCTTCCTGTTTGCTTCTCTTTCCTTTTGAAAACTGAAACTTCAAAACCAACTCTTCTTTGAATGTTGAAGCTACATTATTCACATTTTTAGAAGACATTGAATGATCAGGAATTTGATACACATTGCTGAAGCTTTGGGGATGGAGGCCTGGTTTCTTGAAATATCGTTCACACTACAGAAATTATAGAGCGTCATAGAAACCAAGTTTGGATCCTGACATAAATTGTGTGGTTCCTAATGGAAGCCTAGTCCACAAATGTGGGCTCTTAAAAGATCAGGTTCGCTCTGCTCTTTAAACTTACCCATGATCAGAGCCTGAATGTACTCTGCACATGTGTCATGGGGAGACATTGTACAGGTATCTAACCAAGGATGATTTGGAACAAAAAAGGACATAAGTAAGGGGAAAAGTCACTTGATGGCTTTTCTCAAATTAAGATGTAAGTCAGGCAGGAAAATCTCCACCTCTTCATAACCCGTCAGACATCTAAGGTCAGTAGTTCAACAATGATCTTCATCTTTCCTGACTTTTTGACAAATTCATACCAAATGGTTCAAATGTTAGATAAACATAAGCAGAGAGAAAAGTCTAGGCTCTGGGAAATAGAATCTATTCTTCTATCAAGACATTAAATGTGGCCTGGAGGGCTGCCCTCTCTGCCCAAGAAGGTGGCTTACCTTCCTGTCCAAAGTTGCTAGTGCCTTCTGTAAGTTACATGTTATCATTACACCTGGAAATTACTGATTCCAATTAGGAGAGGGTTGATTACACTTTGAAGAAATTCGCTCTTGTGTGTGTCTTTGAACTCAGGAATAGAAAATGAAGAAGCACTTCATCTTCATATGTGGTCTTGTTCCTGCTGGGGCGAGGACGAATGGGCAAGGGTGTGTTCAGAACTGAGGTAACTCAGTGCAGCCTGCAAGAAACTGGCATCGCTCCAATTTCGACATCTTCCTAAAAGCACATTAGCATCCGTTCTGGGACAGGTTAGTCCATCCGATGTCTGTAAAGTCAGACAATTTATTTCTGTGGCCCTTCAGACAAGCACAAAGCTTCAAAAAAATCAGATGCCAGTTATTAAGAGCTGACACAGAGTGGAAGGAGGGCCAGCTCGAACGTTGCCTGGAGTGCTTTGCTTTATCCCGTGAGTGCGATGCCTTCATTGTTTCACAAGCTACAAAACTGTTGCTCTTAACTTGGGTTGAAAACACTAAACACTAGCAGTGTCTTCCATACTAAAGATGATTGCTTGACCCTTACATCATGACTGTGAACTAAAATCAAGCTTGAACATCTGCACTTTAGAAAGAAAGCTCAGTAGAAGTCTCCAACCATGGAATTAACACTGAATCTCCCTCACCCTCATCTGCCAATAAAATGCAGCTTGACCCAGTACTGGAGTCTGTAAAGTGTGCATTTGCGCCGCTTGGTTAGATTTTCCCTGCTTTGCCTCGTTTTCTGTTCGTTTGCTGTTGCCTGTGTTGTGATACAAAATCAACTTATTTGGGACTGTTTCGTTTTTCTTTCATTGACATATCTTCAAGGCCAACTTCAGCCCTAGGCAAACCTGCAGACTGTTAACAGATCTTGAAGTTGAAAGGCAATATAAGGCACTACAGGGCCACTTCAAGAGCAGGATGGCCCTGTTTTCCCTTCATTTACCTGAGAAAACAGAAAGTTGGTTGCTGTGTTGGAATACTCCCGGATTGGTGGGTATTTCCTCCCAGGGTCACTGGGCAACCCATACTATTCATTCCCTATTAGCTGTCAGTCTTTCCTTGGAATGCTTATTAAACACACACAATGTAATTTCCAGTGCTCATCCCTTTTTTATTCATCCATTCCCTGGTTTTATGTGTTCTCCCTGGGAGCTGGCCCGCTCTTTGCCTCACAATGTTGCTTAATGAAACCTGGCAGACACCTTGTTGCCAGAAATCAGTTTTAAAGACTCTAATCATGTCAGCCCAGGCAGGGGGCTCATTCTATCTTGCATTGAATTAATTATAGAGCCCAGAAAAAGGGTGGACAGGGGCACTTCCCAACCAGTCAGCCAAAACAAACTCACACTTGCTCTCAGCAAACATGTTTGTGAATGAAGCTTGCTTGTCTTATCGCAGGGGAAATGTCATGTTGCCCTGGGTGCCCTGCTGCTGTCTACAGCTTCTTCATCTCTTTAACAGTGAACTCCTAACAGCGGCCCCAGGTACTGCCAGGAGTGCACCCTCCCTTCAGAGAATGCCATCCCCACTCTCCTCATCTCTATCTACCAACATTTGGGGGGAACAAATTAAGAGAATCCTAACTATGTAAAGATAAATTGTATTATATTTTTTGTACTTATGTTTTATGTAAATAATTTGTTTCGTTCGATTGTATGTGAGTATTGAAATAAATCCTACCATTCCGGAAACACTTTAGTGGCATTATTCTTTGCACAGCCTCTAAGTACTCTGTCACCCAGGTAGTGGTAAGACAGCTTGAAGAGTGAGTTTTAGAAGAAGGAAGCCGTGGATGGCCTCCTGGGTGGACCCCATGACACATTCTTGTTTGACCTTCTCATCTTCAGGTCTCTTGATGGGTGGAACAGAACCACACAGATTCATGATGTGTGGAAAAGAACTTTTATAAATATTCCTGTGCTAAGTGGAAACTCTGTGACCAGGACAGCTAATCTAATTCTCTGGTATAACTGCCCTCTCTTCAGCATGCCATATTCCAGCCTTCCTTGCATAACAAACTTTTTCTTGAACAATCTGCTAGCAATCAGTCAGCATAAACGTAGCTAGACGCTTGACCCGAGAAAATGACTATTAAGTAAGAGCCACATTTCAGTACGAATTCATTTTTTCCATAATTTCACTTTATTGTACTTATGCAGCATATCTTAAATATATGTATATATTTATGCCATATATACTTATAAGTACTAGAAACATCTCCAATTATTTTATATATGCAATGAATCAAAACCCTGAGAAAGTGGGGTTAATACAGAGGCCAGATATTAACATGATAAACTAAAGCCATATAAACTTACAAAGATTAAAGGGTTTAACTCCAAGTAATAAGCTATCAAAAGCTTTAAAGGATTCCATGAAGAATTTATATTTACCTGGTTTTTTTACACAAGAAGTAGAAACATCCTGCACCACAGTCTTCTTTCTTGCCACGTTTTTGAGCATTTGTGATCTTAGTAATATATATTCATATACATATATATTTTTTAGATGGTGTCACACATGGCTCATGTATCCAAGCCCTCTTAGAAGTTTCTTCATTTGCTCTTTAAAAAACAAAGTTGAAATGTGATTTGAAATAAGTCTGGAGCTCTTTGAAATTTATAATGTAATTTTTCATTTAAAGTGTCTCTTTGTGCCCAGTTTGAGAACAGCAGAGATGATTCGGTGCACTGCTGTAGGGCTCTGGTCAGCTAACCTAACAGGACATCCTGACAGTAATCTCAGAGTGTCATCTTCTGAAATTATCGTTTTGAAGTACACATGGGTTTATTTATGAAATCATACAGAAAAGGAGGTGTGAAGTGAATTTCCTCATTGATTGCCTTGGTATGCATTTCCCTTTAAGTTACCGCTCTCCTCAGCAAGCCCACCGGGGACTTTGTGAGAGAGGAAAGATGAGAAGCACCACAGTAGTGGTCAGAAGGCTGTCAGGACAGCTTGGGGGCTGCCCAAATGGAACAGCCAATCAGGGAGTAGATGTCAGACACCTCACAGCTTACAGGGTTTTTGCACTCAGCTTCCCAGATCATCAGTTCTCCCTGTGACCACCCATCGTATTTGGTTTCCTTTCTACCTAGAAAGCCTGGAAACTGGGCTTTGTGATTCAATAGAATTTCCTTTGGGCATGAAATTCTCTTGAGATGCAGTGGTAGGGGTTAAATCTCCTTTTACAGAGGGGGAAAGGATACTTGGAGGACCATGAGGAAGTACCAGCATGATTCCAGAGCAGCCTGTAGATGCCCGCCAAACACGCTTTGCTTTCTTGCTTCTGCCTGTGTAGAGCTCTTCAACCGGAAAGAGTTCAAGTGAACCCTCAATAGAATGTCCACAGCTTCCTTAATTCCAAGTTCTTCTGAAGTTGCTCCATAATACTTCATGTTTCCAAGGCCATTCCATGTGTCTTGATTCTGCACTTTAGGAGTCATTTCCATCCTTATTCTAGAACTGACAGATAATCTGAATGTAATTAAGGCAGAAAGACACATGCACATGTCCACAGAGAAAAAGCTTCCAGTAGCACCAGGTGAGGACAGAAATGGATGGGTGACATCATGGTACATCCCCTTTGAATGTCTGTTCCTTTGGCACTTTGAGTCTTCAAAGAAGATAGAACGCTAAGCAAGATAATGCATGAGATTTGAAGCATACATTCACCACACCGAAAAGTCCAATAATCAATTTACATGGAACGTTACCTAGCACCTCCAAATTTACCAAGAATAGAATGAAGAGATGTCTTCAGCATTAGGGTCTTACCTTCAGTGCTATGCTTTGTTCCCACCTCGCTCTTTGCCACCTGTCTTACCTCATCTTCAATGCTTCCCCAGGAAAACATAGTACTCTGCCTTTTGTTTGAGGCCAGAGATTTGGGAATCCAAGTTTTCTGGGCTTTTGTCAGACAAAAAGCAGTATGTCCCTACTGGTTAATGTTCTTTTATAAGTCTTGGCATTTAGAGTTCAGCAACATAACTTATTGACAAATGATACACATAGTCTAAATTGGAATAATTGGGGTTGAGGCCTGGTGTTCTAAGCCAGTTAATCCATAAACAGAAAGTGTTTGTTTGGTTTGAAGGAAAGAAATACCATTTTTAGCCTTCATTACCCCACAGAAAAAGGGCCCCTTATAACCGAGCATTGTCAGTTACTAACAAACACAAAGTGTTAGATCAGAGCATACACTTGGGCATATTTTCCTCTTTTTCTAAACAAGTTTCAAGTTTTTGCTTAAAACTAACTAAGCCATGAACTCATTCAAGAAAAAGTCTACATGATCTCTATATATTAAAATCTAGATTCCGGACTCCCCCAGCCTCATTCACCCTCCAAGCTTCCCCACTCCATCTCTCCTCCAAGCAAGGACGCAGGCACATTGTTTGTCTTGGCACCCCAGACTACGGACTGAACTCTTGGCCTAGACACCCCAGTACTTCCTGATCATTTGCATCCAGACCAACTCAATTCCTCCCTCTAGTACCCAGGAGCACTCGGGGCCTCTTCCCACCCCCACCTCCCTTTGCATCTGTGGGTGGCCAAACACCCCAGCTTCCTGGGGCCAGCAGTTTTCCTGGAGGAAACAAATCCTTAGGAGAAAGCCTGAGAGTATCTTATCCTCATCCGACTTGTGCCTCTGTGGGAACTCCTGAGCAGGAAGATGATTAAACCAGTTTGGCCCTTCCAATATAAAATCAAAAGAAGAACCTGAGGCCTAGACCAACCAGCTTATCATGCCAAACAAGTAAACCACAAAGGCATGCAAAGTTTACAAAAAGAAGCAGATCTAAACATAACAAAGGAAGGGTTGCATCTCATACAAGAATCAGAAACTACAATAGAAATCCACATGTCAAAGTCACAGTGAAAAAATAACATGAAAAACCCAAATAATATATCCCCACCAAGTACCAATAGTCCTGTAGAGGACTACAATGAGAACACCTCACAGATAACACAGGACATGGAATTTAAAAGAACAATTATAAACATGATAAAAGAATTCAGTGAATTTAAAGAACACACAAAGAACTCAAAGAAGATAGGGATAAAGTTCTGAATGAATTCAGAAAAGGGTTAGAAATATTGAAGAATACTCAGGCTGAAATGAAGAAGGAAGTGAAACACTCAATAAGCCAATTAGAAATGACAGGAGAAAGCCTCACCAATAGGATGAATGAAATGAAAAACAGAATATCAAGACTGAAAGATAAAGTGGATGAATTAGATCACTCATGCAAAGATTATGAAAAATTTAAGAAAACACAAGAATGGAATATGCAGGAATTGTGTGACACCATAAAAAGACCAAACTTATGTATCATAGGTATAGAGGAAAGTGAAGAATCTCAGTATAATGATATGGACCAGATGTTCAACAGGATTGTAGAAGAAAAATTTCCAAAATTAAAGAAAGACATGCTCATACAGATACAAAAAGCATATGGAACACAAAATACACAGGACCAGAAAAGAAACTCTCCATGGCACATCATAGTAAAAACACTAATATACAGAACAAAGAATACTGAAAATTGCAAAAGAAAAACAAGTCACATATAAAGGAAAACCCATCACAATTACAGCTGACTTTTCAGAGAAAATCATGAAAGCCAGAAGAGCCTACACTAAAGTATTCCCAGTTTTAAATGACCACAGATGCCAACCCAGATTACTATACCCAGCCAAAATGTCTATTATAGTCAAAAGGGAAAGAAAAATCTTCCATGACATAAATAGGCTTAAAGAATTCAAAAGCACAAAACCAGCCCTTCAGAGAGTTCTTGAGGCAATACGAAGAGCTAAAGAAAGGAATAACTATACCCAAGGGGTTACAGAAATAAACATAATGAAGGTAGGATTCTGGAAATGCACAGCTACACCAAGAATGTGAACAGAAATAAAAATGACAGGATTCAACACTCATCTTTCATTAATAACTTTAAATATTAACAGACTGAGCTCCCAAGTCCAAAGACACAGACTAGGTAAATGGATTAAGAAACAAAACCCATATTTTTGTTGTTTAATGGCTTAAGAAACAAAACCCATCTTTTTGTTTCTGCAAGAAACTTATCTCACTTTCAAGGACAGGAACTATCTTAAGGAGAAAGGATGGGAAAAAATATTCCAAGTGAATGGTACCAAAAAAAAAGCAGGCATTGGAATTCTATTATCTGACAAAATAGACTTCAAACTAAAACTATTCAGAAGAAATAAAGAGGGCCACTTCATTCTGATCCAAGGAACAATTGACCAAGAAGTTATTATTGTCATGAACATATATTCACCAAACTCTGGGGCACCCAACTTCATAAAAACAATATTACAGGACTTTAAGACCCAGAATAATCCCAAGTCATTAGTAGTTGGGAACTTCAATACCCCATTATCTCCATTAGATAGGTCAACATGACAGAGAATTAATGATGAGACATCTGAATTAAACAATGCCATACATCAAATGGGAATAACAGACATCTACCAAATATTCCATGCAAGCACCAAAGAATATACTTTCTACTCAGCACCCCATGGATCTTTCTCCAAATCTGACCATATACTGGGGCTCAAAACAAGCCTCAACAAATACAAAAAGATTAAAATAATTCCATGCATTCTATCAGGCCACAATGCAATAAAGCTTAAAATCAATAGCAGAAGAAACCCT